ACGACTTGGTTGGAATGCACACTCCAACAGCTCGTCGAGCGGGCCTATGCCCATAGATCTCAGCTATGCTGAGGACGAGGGAACAGAGCTCCTAGTTGCCGGGCAGCACACAAACACACGACGGTTTTTTGTCTGTGAAGACACCCATCACCTTCGGAACGGTTGCCCCCTGCGCAAGGCGCGTCAACGTTCTTCGATTTATCGCTCCAATGCCTATCAGTCTGATTCGTCGCGGGGAAACGACCACCCAGTCGGCACGGAACGACCTACTGGGGAATAACTGAGTTCTGTTGAGCCTCAGGGTGGTAGAGGTCAATAGGACCCAGCCCCAAAAAGCTCCGTGCTTTTGAACACGGAACGTGTATACAAGCCGGGCTTGCAGGTCGTGGAGGTGACCGTAAAGGGCTTCGAGAAGCCATGGAAGATTCTTATCGATCTCGGGGCGCCGGGCAATTATGCTCGACGCTCCACGATGAAAGATAGTCAGCTGTATGCTGAACGCAGAAAGCGCGGTTGGGTGACATCGTCACTGTACACCTAGCGACGGGGACACTTGTCATGGTCCCGAAGGTCCCTGTGGACCTCGGAGTCAAGATCCTTGAATTTGATAGCGTGGAGCGCTGTCTAGTTTTCGACTTGGATGCAAGATATGACCTCATCTTAGGAATAGCATGGTTGGCACACCATGAACCATGAATTGATTAGAGGTCATAGAACTTGGGTGCTACGTGCACGTCTCCGGGTGGAGCTTAGGCGAGTCATGAACCCACCTCTGCTAGGAGGCAAGCTCTATTGGCAAGAGCACTGGACCGAGATGGTCAACGTGCTAGACATTGGAAAAATCCGAGTTGGAAGACACCACCGGTGTATTGGACAGCATTCAGAAGCGTAGCTCGTGGGCTGATCGTGGAGTGGCATGTAAACCACTGAGCGCTGCTCAAGAATCAAAGCAGTCACTGCATGTCATGCGTGACATGGTCGGCCAAGGGCCGAGGCATCGAGGACGAGGCCCTCGTGATGCGCGTGGAGTGGCACGAAAACCTCTGAGCACTGCTCTCGTTGCGAAGCAGTCGCTGCATGCCATTGATGGCGTGGTCAGACTGAGTCCGAGGCATTTTGGGCACGGCCCTTCCGATGCGCGTGGAGTGGCACAGTATCCACTGGACGAGGACGACAGGGTTAGCAGTTCTTCGTCGGATGTTGTAGATAACATCGAAGCTCCAAAAAGTGAGGATGACACGGATGACGCGGATTGCGTGTTCACCCTGGTCTCACCGAGACGTAGAACCTTTTTACAGAAGCGACGGCGACCCCGTATGCGGGCTGCAAGACGTCGGGC